CAGCAAGAAAATGGTGTCTTCCGCGATGTGGAAAGAGACAATGAAACATTTAAATGTCCATTAGCCATTTATCACGATGATAACGAGAAAATATAAATGAGTCTCTTTCGTCATGCGTTTGCGAATTGCTCAATATGAGCACCAAGTGGCGATTCTGCGCCAGGTATGCTGAATATTTGTGCAATTTCCAATTGTCCAGTGATTTCATCAATTTATACACGAGGAAAATGATTAATTGAAAAGTCAGTGTGGTGCCTTGTGTGAATTAATTGTAATGAAAATTTTTCACTCTGGCGACCACTGCGTATTCTTGCGAGCTCATCTCGAAATGCTCCACGTCTCGGCGATGCGGAGTGTGTGATGTGAATTCGCAATGATGGCCTGGCGAGGAGGAAAGATGGACATGTCGGAGTGCGATGCCAGTGAGTTGAGCATTAATATTAAATTGTGAGACGTTTGCAATAAATAAATAAAATAATTTTTGCCTTTGTTTATTGCCTAAGTACAAAAGGAGGCGCGTCATCAATATCTCAAGGCTCGCGCACACCATCTGTGTGCGATTGGCTGAAAATCAGTCCAATGGAAAGCTGTGAAAATGTAATTGAATGCTATCAATCAATTACTAATTGCAGCGAGAGACACTAGAAGACACACACAACACGCCAGCATTGGGGGAAAGAGACAGGGAGATGGATTTAAGACAAAATGCAATTAGTGTTGCACATGCTGAGGAGGTTCCACTGCGAGCCGTTTCAAAAGTGTGCGCCTGTGAGTGAGAGAGCTCGAGAGAGCTTTGCGAAAATGCAGGCATTGCAGCATCCACAACTATTAATAATATATAGAGGGGCTCAAGAGACAGAGAGAGAGAGACTGCGAGAGATGCAGTGGAAAAAAAACTGTGTGGCAACAAGAACTCCATTCACTTGACGGCTCTGTGCTGTGTGGATTTTATTCATTTGTGTAACATACTCTCTTGGAGAGAGATCGCGCACAGCGAACGAGAGAGTTCACATTAATTTATTATTATTGTCGTGATGACACGAATAACAACATCTCTTTCCCTCTCTGCGATTGGAAAACTATCTCACTTGCACAGAGCATCAGCATTGCCGATTTGCAATCTCATCGTCTCTCATGGGATAAATCATTAATTTTATTATTTCTAACCATTTGCTGCCATTGCAAACAATTTACGTTTTAATTACCATTTGCAATTGAATATTCATATCAAGAAGACCTCTCATGGACTGAATCAGGAGGCGTTTGTGGAATTTCAATACTCAATTGCCATCAATAAACTCGATCACATCCACGCAGATTAACCCCGTGGATTAGATAGGCTAGAGCTATAGATTAACTTCAGAGTGAGAGAAAGCTCGCGACGTTTTGCTTTAAGAATGCAACAATATTTAATGAATAAATTCATTTATTTGTAGTGAGAAAAGTCGACATGCTTTGAATGAATAATCAATTCTATCTAACTTTTAAAACAGTCGAGTTAAAATTGGATAAGGGGAAAAAATTGCCAAAAATCCATGTTTAACCAAAAAAAAGGCATTCGAATAGTCTTTAAGGCTTCATTGATTATTCTTTATAATGTCAGTGTTCATCAAAAGTGAAATCCAATTCATTGAACTCATCTTTTAAAATATTTTGGCAATATTTGAGATCATTTCTCGGGATATGAGCGATTATGAATCAGTCATAATGAGTTCGTTAGTCATTGAATTGAGTGGAGTTTGTGATGTGGAATATCAAAGTGAGATTTCAGCAATGTCATTATCATTGGAAGAACTCAGTGATGTCTTGCACTTTCCCACGGTGACGCGGAGGAAGGGTTGGCAAGGAGCCTTTGGCCAACGATCACTCAACCAGTTTGTTTTCACGACTCTCTTCCATACCCAAGGGTGTTTGTCCATCGTCCAGTTGTGTCCATTCACCCTTTTTCGGTGCGCTAAGAAAATCTCTGCGTATTGTTGAGAAAACAGTAAGCGCCAGATAAGGTAGTGGTCATTTGGACTATCTCCCTGTCGTTGACCGTTTCATCCCTCCTTTGTGCCCTTGTTCACGTATATGAAAAGCCTTCAAGGGGACGATATATATCGTGCGTTGTCTTGTTGTCCACACACTGGAGAATATGTGGGAAAATTGTGTGATTTTGAACTGGATGGGGTTTTTTGTGCCGCACAACATTCCTCAAATGACTGTTGTCCGAGAAAATTGTGAACATTGACAATTAAAGGAAGACGGTTGATGCTTTTTGTTGGGCTTCTCTGGCTCTGATCTTTTCGGACATGAGCATTTTTCGAGGGGCTAGAACGAGTTTTAAATCAATTTTTCCATGATGGGGCTGCACCGTGGATGAACTGTAACGGAATGTCCAGATGTCCACTGCATTCTCATCCATTCGTGACTATGTTTATAATATCACAGACTTCATTTCAATACACACAGGAGAGAGGATGATATAAAAAAGCCTTCAACTGCTTTTTTTTGTTATCACCATAAATGGTCGGAAAGGACATTTTTCTATGCGCGAGTTTAAAATTTAAATATCCGTTGGCGAGTCTCGCGCGCTTCTTTCTGTGACACTGCGCTTCCGTCGAGATATGGAAAATATCCATTTAACTGTTTGACCATTGGTCGAGAGGAAAAAAACGCCAAACGTACACATTCCTAATGATATTTTATGGATTGCAACTGCGCAAAATGGCCATAAAGATGTTGATGCATTTAACTAGAAAATCTCTTTCTCTCATGTGTACTCCTGATGAACTTTTAATTTTACTGCACAACAAGAGAAATGCGCTAACCCAATTAGCGTCAACCACTTCAAATTGCTTCATCGCAACAATTGAGATCATGCTAATAATGTTTTAATGCCTTTTCACGAAAGGAAATTGCTCTGCCGCAGCTCCTTTTTCTGCACTTTGCATATCTCTGCAGCCGCCAAGCCAGAGAGAGATGGTTCACTTACTCATGGTTACATGAGAGGAGGTGGTATGAAAATGAAGCGTTTTATGTCTTTGTGCCATTTAACCCAAATATTCACCGTCCGAAAGTTCTCACCGAAGAAAGAGTCACGGGGAGAAAATGCACAAAAGGTGGGAGATTAATCAAGAAACTTGTGCATTAATCAATTATGAAGCAAAATTCCTGATGGAACTGGACAGTTGGTACAAGAAATGCAAAATTATGACTCTCTTGGCTAATTTACGTTGGAACACTCTCTTTGACAGAGTTGGGAAAATACAGTGCATCGCATATTCTAGACTGATGATAAAAAATTATATTCCTTGAATATAAAAGATATATAGGCTAAGGCTTCTGAATGAACTTAAGAAATGCAAAATTTTGTTTTCAAAAAGCTCAGCAATGTTCTAATAAATCTTCTTTATTCTAGTCTAAATGAATCTGCGAACTAGGAAGCCTGCAACTCGGTGATGTTGAGAAGAAAAAAAGCTTTGGAGAAAGGGCACATGAGGAAGGGGTAAGATGAGAAACAAGGCAATTGCAATTAATTGAAGTGCAACACGCAAAGATTTTCAAATATAAAATATAGAACGGTGGAGAAATAACTTTGACCGAAAGACTCAAATTATATCCGCAACCTCTTCATATATATTCCTCCATCGAGACTTTCATATTTAATCCGTGCGGCGAGTGATGCAGAGGAAAAAAAGGGCTCAATAAGTGTCAATCATGGGATGGAAATTTAATCAATTTGAGAATTTATTCTGTTCTGCTATAAAATATTTGTTCATTGATCGATCATTCGATTGAGTTGCGAGATGCATATTAACCAGGGCGCGCGATGGGAGAATGGAAAAGGTGGAGAGAGATCAGGAAATGTCTGTCAAAAGTCTCAGATTGTTTCTTCAAGTTGATTTGATATTCCAAGTGAACTCAATTTCCTCCATTGCCGGCACATCAAATTCAAATTTTATCCATTTTCGAGATGTGCTCGGACTGAAATTGTCACACACGGAGAACGAAAGACTTCAATGAGTGGCTGAAGCGACGAACCTCACTCATGTGAATTGGATTGGGATATGAAAAAAGCTCTTCGCTCTTCTTGATTTTCTGTTAATCACGGCGGTTGTAGAAATTGAAGGAATGGGCGGAATAGGCAGTGAATGGTGGAGAAAAAGGGTGAAAAGAGAGAAACGACGAGTGAACAGTTCTAAATGAAATTCAGTTTGGTGTCTCTCTTGGCTTTTCGAGTCCCGCGGGGCGATTTCAGATGCTGCGATGCCGGTGGAGAGAGACGCATGCAATGGAGAATATAATCTTAAAAGCAAAAAGCTATAAAATATTCGGACATATTTTCTCGACATCGATTCTCTCTTTTGCCTTCTCTCTTATTTCATCTCATTCTCCGCTCCATTCCGAGCCACTCTTCATGGACCTGAGCATGATCGAAAGAGAAACGACGGTGGTTTCTGAGTTACTAGCTCTTAAATTAACTCTTGCGACTCTTTAAAATAAACGATAATGATGATGACGCTGGGTGTCAAAGAGTCATGAACTCATTTTTACCTTTATTGAACAGTCTATTGTTGCTTTTCTCCCTCGTCATCTTCTCTGATTTTTTTTCACACATCCCAAAAAAGAGACCGTTCCAATGTATGGCTTTAACGTCTCTCCTCTGTAAATATTAAAGTGTATTTGTTATTTTTTCACTTAGTATTCTCTTCTTCAACATCATTCTGGGCCTTTATTACCAAAGTTAAACATGGGAAGCGAGGTAAGAGCGAAAGAGAGCTGACGATTCTCCAGGCAATCGCGAAGAAATCTCCCTGGAGTACAGTGACGGCGGGTACACTTGGAGGATTGTTAAATTTGAAAATCCTTCTCATTTCACCATAATTCAATATGAAATTATTAAATTTAACAGATATTTTGCCAGTCAATTTCACTGAGCGGTTCGTGGAAATTCCTAGAATTCTCACCTGCTTGTATCGCACCTAAATGGCTCATATTTATTTACTATATTTGCTAAATATACCACTTACGCAACACGACTTAAATTCTTGCACATGGGAAAAATTGACGCCACTGCAAAGTTTCCCCGCGAGAGATTTTGATTTGAGCCTCCTTAACTCTTCCATTTCTTGCGGCTGTGTATTGTTAATGGTGATCGTTTTATTTTCATCATGCTTGACTTTTTCTACTCGCAGCATCCTCGAGCCACACTGTAATTGTTTTGTGTGCACCATGAGTCAAATCGACAAGATCGCGTAGTTTAGTGCTTGCAATACACTTCTAATACTTTTCATTTCGCTGTTGTCCGGCAGCGTGCACGTGTCGAGACTTGATGGTTGGGATGGGTTTTTGACGGAGAGTGAAAAGTTTCGGTTTTTCGTTAGATATTTTCATGCGTTTGGGCTTAACAGTGTACGATGATCGTGTATATGGGCATTCTTGGGAGCCAATGCTCTTTCTTTCTCTGTCTCCTCCACACCTTCGAAAGGTGATCTCTTGTGGCCGTGTTACGTGTTCGATTGCCTTCTCTCTGTCGCTCCCGCGAGGCTGAATCGCAATGGTGTTGGTTTGGTGTTGGTGGTGCTGCAGCGAAAGAGAAGACATCACTTCTTCGACGCCATGTTAGATCAACAAGTGATGTTGGAACTCACCTACGTTGCAGGTAAACTCAGGTATTGCCTCTCTGCGAGTCCGCTGGGATTTGCGTCTGTTCACCCACCGTCGTCGCAAGTGTGTGTTTCAGCCACGATCGTACGTCCCTATTGAGGTGAAATTGTAGTAAGAGAGACGTATGTATTGGACAATGGTCGCAGATTGAGCCCCACCATTATGCGCAGTTGCCAAGAAATATTGGAGAGGTAGTGTAGTTTCAAACGGACACCTGCTAAAATCTTATAAGAATTCCACCCAAAATCTACCCTCAAACCCCCCTATTGTGATGTGTCAGTGTGCATGAAAATGTGACATATTGCCGTGATATTGTAGTTCATCTCCAGTGCCAGTGGATTTCACGTAATTTCCCCCGCAAGCCACAGTCAACGACTTGAGCGAGTTTTGACCACCAAGTGAAGGAAGGTGAGAACAAGCTCTTTTATCCCAAAAACTCACTCTAATCCAAATCCACCTCGAAACAATGGTCTGGACCATAGAACATCCCATTCAGGAGGGATTTTCAAGTCATGAAATGACGGGCATTGAGATCTTTTGTCGCGGTTCTGAGTCTATTCATCTGTGGAGTGTCGTTTTCCTGGACAGCAGCATTCTGGGTGTCTCTTTCTCTGTGTAAATTAAGCTAATTGTGTGTCTTTTTCCTTTGTTTTTCACCCTCTCGCCTCACCATCGTCTTGAAGTGCTCTCAGCAACTCTGCATTTTTGGTCTGTGTGTATTCAACAGGTAAACCACTACACCTCAACCGTCTGCCAACAGTGTGACAGGTACGCTCCTGCACACCTCCTGACGATCACACTTGACATCATGTGGGCCGCAATTAGGGCATTCTGCCGTCTATCTCCTCTATTGTTCACAAATTGACATCATTCGTGATTAACCGTTAAAATTTGGGCAACACTTAAGGGAGTCCCGTAGTCTCCTCTTCAGTTTCACATCTCTCGTGCTACTGTTGAGTGCTGAATCTGACGGAGAACTTAAGCTCTGGGCTCTCTGTGTGTGAAGTGAAGGATCAAATGAACCGGTGCAAATTGTCATCTGGGTAGGTGAAAACTGGTTGATTTTTCTAGTTTGACACGTGAAAATTGTAGTTTTCACACTTCCATTCAACCGTGCAAAGAAGAGTTCTGACCGGCTTCACAAATAGTCACATTGCGATGAGATTCAGGTCTCTCCACATGGTGGAACTCACAAACAACAACTTACAACTTCCACAGAAAACCAGCCGTGGAGTAGTTGAACCTGATGTTTTCGGTGGAACTTGATTTTTCCCATTCATTCATTACTTTTTTTCTACTGTAATTTTATTTATTTTACCATCATTCCCCATGTGATTCGCCACAGCCCCACATCTTTTTTTGCTACCGCGACTCTTGGGATGATTCGCAGTGCTGCTCTGAGAGGGCGTTTATTGCTCGAGGAAAATCCTGGAAAGTTGCTAACAATTGTGCGATGGGGGAATTTTATTTGTCTGCTCTCAATGACGATTTCTTGGAAGCGAATACTGTCAATATAGCTGGTGACAAAGCCACAAAAATCCCCAGTAGGAGAATTGACGGCTAGGCACAAAATTAATTCAATTAATATGATTACCCGTGCTACAGTGAAGTTATACTTGTAATAAGATTTCAATCATGGGATCGCTGCTTTCGGGAGGAAAAAATAACACTGGCGAGCAATCCGATGATGAGCGTAACTAAAGACTTTGATCGAATGTAATGTAAATGAATGAGAGGCAGAAGGAAGGTAAAAAAAAGAGGCGATTGAGAAATAAATTCTGTGAGAATAATTTTATTGCTAAAACATGTAACACGCGAAGCTCCTCTAAATATGCTGGCTATATGTCTGATTGGGAAGGTAGATGAGGTGGAGGCTGTTGGCGGTGGAACGAAAAATATTGAAATAAAAATCTCTAGATCAAGAGACGACGGTGATAAATTAAGTTAATGGGTGGGGAATTTATATGTAAATGATATCGAGACGTTTTAATATTATTGTGGTCTCAGCTGATGGGTATAAGGCGATGTTGTACTAGCGCGAGAGGAGATCGAATGATGTGTGGTATAGGGAAAAAAGGTGGACAAGAAAGGAAAATACATGGACGCTCATTTAAGTGTAGAAGAAGAGATTGTTGGGTTCTTGGGCGCTTCATTATTTTTTTCCACCTCTTCTCTTCCCCCGGCGTTTGGACTAAAGTTAGAAGAAATTCAAGAATGATGATGATGCTGGGTAGGAACATGGAGAGAAAAGAGAAACGCCATCGTATAAAATTATTCAAATAAATTGCGTCATCGCCAAGTCCCAAGTAAAATGACCAAGAGAGTGAATGAGAGGAGAATTTAAGAGGTCCAAGAACGAAATTCGAGCCTCTTTTCTCTTGGGGGGATTATGTGTTTTTTTGTGTTGAGAAGCGAGGAAAAAAGAAAGACCATCTCGTTGGTAAATGTATCGATGGGGGCACGAAAAGAATAATACAGAAGATCACACTGAGATTCCTCAGTCTGTCCTTCTCTGCCTCTCCCGGGGCACTGCGCGCAGCCCAAGAAGCCCTGGTCCATCGCGATGGAACCATCTTGGAATTTTGGGAGGCTCAGACTCTCTCGTGTATCTCACAAACCAATTTCTTTTCATCTTATTTTTATTGCCCCCCTCGAGGTCCAACTTCGCGTCCATTCCACTTGGAACTGGACGCTCCATTCGCACCGCGGGAGAAGCCGGAGCTTTTATATACACCCAAACCATTCGACTCTTGGCAACAGCCAAAGTGAAGAGAGTGGCGCGCGATGCCTTGTCGATGCTCCGGCAAATTCATACTCTTTGACCCTGCCTGGCATCTCTTCTCTGTGTCGTTTTTTTCACACCCAGCGAACTGAACAATTGAACGGAGAGCTTTTATTTTTCCTCCTTCCAACGCCACACAAGCCATGCCAAGAGGGCAGACGAGGAGAAATATCTTTAATTGCGTTTGCCACAAATGTGAAAAAATATGTGCTTCTTTTTTCTCCCATTCGACGCAGCAAAAACATTCAATTTTTCTCGGTGATTGTTTCATTTGATAAACACTGTGATTAAGCTGAGCCACTGTGAAGAGGTGGGGATGTACATATAGAGCTGAAAAAGCACCGCAACCAATATCTCTATGGCATGGCATTTTTCTCCGACTGATTGCAATCTAAGGCAATTCCAGCGTTAATCCTTCATGCGTGTGTGAAAATAGAATAAACCTCGCGGTAGCTGAATTGGTTATGAAGGGAAATGCTGTGTTTATGATTATCCTTGAAGTTGTTTACCTTCTGTAGCTTTTTGGTAGTCATGCTTGTCGTTTTGCTGAATAGCTTTCAGAATTCATACGTTTTATTTGTTTATTTTCTTTAATAACATATCGATTCAGTTTATTACATTGGCAACCTGGGTGATTTCATCTTAATAGAGAGACCGTCATGGACCCTATAGTCAAAAGATAGCCTTAATGCCGATTTCTTGAATTATTTCATCATATGAATCATGTATTTTTCTTTAAAACATTTTTTTCACGAGCAACTATGTGATCAATGTTATAATCGTGAGTGAGTTATAGAACGAAATAGATGTGCTTTTCTACTGCAACGACTAGAAATTTCTAGACGTAAAATTCATAACCTCATTCGCAAGAAATTCTATTTTCCCTTTGATAAACGACAAGCATCAATACCTTGTTTAATATGCAAAGCTTTCCGTGCATTGTTTTATTTATTGCATTTTTCCCCGTGATTGTATAAAGAAAAATGCAAATGTCATCTAATATTCCAGAGAGATATTTTGGAAAGCGTTGCCTAATTTGCATAATTCATATCTCTCAATAGATCAATATTTTGGTGTTTTCAACAAGAAACACTGGAGGTAAGACGTTAAATCCCATGAACCGTTACCTCGAAATGTGCTCTATAGCGATGATCCTTTGAATTTTCCTCGTTTAAATTTCCTCATTATTTTATTGGGTACTTGTGCGCCGCCGGAGATAAACTGACGCGAAATATATAGCGAATAATTATGCTAATTTAGTTTTAGCACATCAATTAAATTGACGAGTGTTTTCTTGCTAGTATTTTTTCATCTCCTTCACTTCATTTTACAGCGTAATAGACACAGTGTGATGGGGGCAAAAAAATGAGAAGACATAATGTTGGGGAATGAGAGGCTGAGGAAGTGTGGAGGAAAAAAGAACACCTCGATTTTCAGAAGGCGCCTGCGTGTAAAGCTGAGAGAACCCGCGCAAATTATTGCGTCTTTTATTAATTTTTTATTAATTTGGCTTGATAACACAAAATTCCACGATTGTTTTTATTGCGGAGCGAAACGAATCACAAGATCTCTTGTTGGCCAATTATCATGCCGATCTCTTATGATTTCCATGTTGTTTTTCCATCGTCAATTTCAAGCCCATTTGACCGCAAATGAGTGCAGAATGCCGCGGCGCGGACTGGGTGAATGGGTTTCGGGCGCAACAGGTGAACATGCCGAAAATACTAGTTGAGAAGGCAGAGTAGAGTATCCCTTTTTCGGTGCGTCAATGGGTACGTCGGCTGGAGGATGGATGGAATGTGATGACTTTTGCCACGTGGTGAAAAAACCAGAAAAACTTGATGTGGTGTATTTTGAATATGTGTAGTAATTTCAGTTCTTGGCTGCACGATTGAGGCGTCCAACGGGAAGGGAGAGGCAGAGTCATGAACTGGGTTCTGGGACAGCAGGCGCACACAGCACGGCGTGAGAGATTCACAAATTTATGGGGTAAAACTGGTTGAAGAAATCCCTCGGACTGTTCGATTTCTACCAATCTCTTTTTCCTCTCCTGGCCTCCTTTTGTTCCTCCTCGCACGTCCGAGTGGGACGGCAAGGGAGACGCGCGCCCTGTGCAAGAGTGAGAGGAGCCTTTTTTCCATGTTGTTTTGAGAGAGATCATGTGAATGAAAATTGCTGGATACTGGTTGGCACACGACGCGCATCTCGTGAAAAAGAGCCATTGAGGACAGGATTTGACTCGACTGCCACTACTGGTCTTTGTGGTTCATCCAGTTTTTGATTTTCCGGATCACACAGATGAGCTCAGCTGATGCCGAGACAAGGGTAGGGACACTTCCAACTTGTTTGTCTTCTAAATTCACACACGAGAGTGACTGGTTAATCACGAGAGATGAAAGGCAAGACGAAAAAAATGGGGCGTAATGTTATTTTGTGGTCTCGTGATGCACACACACTTGCCGGTAATCAGAGGGGAGAAATTGCTCGCGAAATTCCTGTTTTGCTTCAGGATTTCACTATCTTCCGCTTTGTTGTCTGTCTCGATGGCAGGTTTGTCTTCTGGTTTTCTGAACTTGCCCATTGCATAAGATATTTAATGATAAAGTTATGCAGAGGTAATTGCAATTTGCTCGAAGAATTTTTAAATATTCGGCAAGTGATTACACAATTTTTCAGTGAAATCAATTAGAGATCAATAAGGGTAATGATATTGAAGTTTAAGAACTTTAAGAGCCATTCAGCATGTGTAAAAAAGATTAGAGATCGACTTTGTGCTTTTGAGATTTACTTGCTGACGCTGAGATTTTCTTCAAGATTCATTGAAATTCATGATGAAATATTTCCCAACAATGCGCGTAATTAAATTTTGAGAAAATGAAAGAAAAGCAAGCGATAAATTAGGCATTGAAAAAAGAAATAGGTTATATTAAAGCTCTCTTCATCAATATTGCAATTCGTAAGCAGTTTAAGACTCTAGATAAGCGATCTAAGTGAGATTAAGAGACCCAATTACGGGCAATTGCTTTGAATTCCACTTAACATTTGACTAGGGCGTGGAAGTAACTATAAATTACAAAAATGATTGCACTATCTGCACAAGGATTTTCCGTTCGGTTTGCTCACACGAAAAGATATTGATTCACATGTTGGAAAATTCCTCTATTATATACGCCGACTTCTTGGAAAGCCCACGTGGAGGTCACACAACTAAGTTGCAATAATGGTGAGACTTTTTTTTTGTCACACGACGTACAGCTTATCTGAGATGCCGTACATATATTGAGTTTCTGTCGTCTGCAATTCGATGGGAAATGATTGGGAAAAAATTCGCATGACTGAAGGTTTTTAACTTGAGGTTGTCGCTAGGTGTTTTGTCATCTTCTTGGCGCGCTGATACTTGGCGTGTAGGTAAATCCTTGAGTGTGGAATCACTTTCAATGAGATGCAACATTAAAGTCTGCACTGGTGCTGCTGGAGGAATGAGGGAGAGCCTTGAGATAATTTTCCCTTCTCCCCATCAACTCGGCACCGGTGGCAATTTCAGGCCGCGATGGCTGTACAGATCATTATCGGGTGAATTGGAAATAATGTGCAACGGACAGTGCATGATCTCAATTTTTATCACGATGGGCTTCCTAATATTGGTGTGATGGGCCGGCAATGCTTTACGTAAGGCGGCGGCGAAGGTCTCGACAGTGTGTAGAGTAGGACACAATCACCTGTGAAAGCCCTGAGGGTGATTTTTCGATAATCTCGACCTCGTCAGAAAGGTCTCAGAGATCATTAAATTTCTCTGTTTTATTATGTGATATTTATGGGTGTCTCTAAATTTTCCCACAACACGGGCAAGATCACTTGGCGATCTATTGCGATGGGACCAGACAATTCAATCAAAAGGTCAGTCTTTCGTGCAGAGAAATCACGTGCCCGTGGCGATGCACTGAGAGGAAGGGGGAATTTCATTCATACCGCGTGGCGGGTGTATTAAAAATTACTCAAGCAAATCTATGAATGGGGAAACCTCGTGATGGAGAGTCAGTGAATAAGAATGGCGAGTGTAATAATTTTACAATTGTGAGAAAGAGGAAGAGGATAATTTATTCCCGAGTCTGCGAAATTGCTCATTTCTTCAGTTGCCATTTGATGGCACGCGGTGGAAAATTCCCACTTGAGTGTGCTTTTCTTTTCTGGCGGGAAATGCACATCATCACACCTCCTGAAGTCGTGGCTCGTGTGCAACACAATGATGAAAACCAGTCCAATTGATCGTGCATGCGGCAAAATTTTTCGAGAACGTGATTTTCTAGTTTGACTTTTAATAAACAAAACCAGAACGTGTTTGATTTTTGCCACCTTCTGGATTTCTCCTCTCGTTTTTTCCATCCACTTTGTTTAGCCTTTTTCTTGTTCCTCAATGAATCCACACACAGAGCGGCAACGGTACAAGATGTGTGCACTTCCTCGAAAAAGTCGAAGGGTCCTGTTTTGTTCGTCAAGATAGTCACTAAATTGCCGCTTCCACCTGTGATGCTGAACTAGTTTCTTCTTCGGCGCCGTGCGCTTTTTTGCAGGTTGATTTTTCCATGTGAGAAATTTTTGCAAACCTGTTTTGAGAAACTAGATGCGCCGCCACATGCAAGTGACTAAACTGCCAAAAATTTCGTGCCTTTTTTGTCCCACCTTCTTCATCGCGCTTCTTTCTTTGCCATGGTTCAGTAGATTTTTCCACCACCTTCGCGGCGTGTGTGTGTCATCATCTAATGTATTTTGTATTTTGGAACAGGTTTTAGGATGGAATTTGTCATAGGTTATGATTTTATTTACAGTCTGTATGTGATTTTTTGCCACTGGTATTTTTCCTCTCATTCATGGAAATTTCCTCAAATTCTTCCGCATATGTTTAAATTGGGAATTCAGCTGAAAGTCTTTTCTTAGACACTATATCCTCCAGTTTTAATAATAAATATCCATGTATTCTTCATCGGATATATGAAATTTGCTCAGAATTTCTCTCACATTTTCGAAGCACAAATCAAACATTGAGTGTATTGAAATAAAATGACATAAAAATATTATATTATTACTCCAGTTTAATAAGAAAAATAAGTGTTATGTGTAGACCAGATCTTAAAGAATACATTGATAAGCTGAATTTTTAAAGAAATGCCAGAGTATTCGAGTGGGTGTGGTCAATTCTAATTTTGCCATTTCTCAGTTTTTTTTATGATTTACTTAATTTTATACATAATTGATAGGATTAAACTATAAATATGTCCATTTGTAGTGTTATATAAAAATTTCTCAATGAACTCCCAATGAACCGTATCAATTGCCACGACATTTCTGTGGTCGGCATATTCCAGACAGTGGTCAAAGAGACTCTGGTATGTTTCGCAGACTCCGAAAAAAAGCAGCACGGCGGCAAAAAAGTGCATTTGAGATGGTGTACAAGTGTGGCCATAAAGGAAACAGAGACACAGACATGGAGGATGTTGCGTAATTTTCGAATGTGCTTCATACGCAATCGATGTATTAATTATTAATTAATCGGTCAGTGAGACACGCGTGTGTCTCACTGAACTTTCCATTTGGCGAATCGCGTGAGATTGATCGTCCAGATATATTTTAATTCGCGCGGTGATTTTGCAAAATGTGAAATTTTGCATCCAATGCGAAAATGTCAGAGATCATCCATTTTGGATGAGCGGAGGTCGCGAAGGGAGGAAAAGAATGACGAAAGGTCTGACCATGAGGTTGTGTTTTTTTCTGTCCTCTTGGACTTCTGGTCCGGCTAAAATTGAGTGCATCAGAGAGAGAGAGAGAGAGAGAGAGAGCGAAAAGTCCTCGTTAAATGTCACATTTATCCTGCATTTTATTGGCACTCAAGGGTGCCTTTTTTGCGCCGATGCCGCGCGTGAGAATTAATTCGAAAAATATACACTATGGCAATTAGCTTCATAATCCGCCACAGTGCCAGAGTTTTATCTATTTCAAAAGTAGCGACAGCTGCAGTAGCCACAACGGAGTTTGTGTGTCGCAATCAAATCAGTGTACAAATGTTTATTGAAAATACTTGGGACACATCGCATTCGCCGCTTTACACTGCTGATAGTGCAATAATAATAACAATAATGAATGAAGTTGCGTTGGACAGAGCAGAATGTCAATATATCCTCGCAGCCTTTCTTCGCGACGCCAAACATCTCGTCTGGCTGTAATTTGCGAAAGTCTCTCTATATCCCAAAATGAGTGTTAGCCATTCGCGTACAAATTGCGAATGCAATTGACCTGGGAGATAAATTAGTTTGCAATGGGAGATGGGGTGGTTTAAGAGTTGTGCATTCCCAACATCTTCTGCCCATTCCGCGTCTCAGCAAGTGCTAAATTTCTCTCTTACTCTCGCGGCTCTTGCGAGACGAGGAGTATTTGAGAATTTATATGTGTTCACGACACCAATATTTTCAATCAACATTTATTATTGGAAATTATTTATATTTTATTTCTATATGCAGAACAACAAACTGGAAGAATTTTCTAATTACATGCGCACATGCATATTGGCAATTCCAATAGCCTCAGACATATTTCTAATTTAAAATATGTTGTCAATCGTATATTGTATTGATCTGTTAACTCTGAACGCCATCAGAGTGTTTTGCAATGAAATACCATTTTAAAATGAGATCTACATATATGCTGTGAACATCATCCTATACGTCAGATTAGCGAGACTTGTGAATATATTTTATATTGTTGTCAAATGAAAAATGATTTTATGCGTTGCGCAATATTGCAACCAACAATCAGATTAAAATTGATAATTTGTCTTATGGTTTATTATTTCACTTTGTTGTGTCTCACAGTGATAGAGTTGTAATTAAATATAAATTTTAAATAGCTTGTTTTCTTGCGCTAATAGCAACCTATCAGAAAATGATCCAGTAATGACATTGTATGTGAAATCTCGATGGGATGCTAGTTCAGGGGCGTAGTTAATCTCAAATGTGCCCCATTCGGGTATTCTGTGATCGTACAGTTGGTAACATAGAATATTTATCAGAAACCTTGAAGAAGTTCATAAAATCATAAAAACCTGGTATGTTTTCTATACAATATACTGAAGCAATTTGTGTTTTTCTGTATTTTCAGCGTGAATTTCATCACACGTGACAAAGAGACAGATTGATAAAGACGGGTTCCAGTGCAACATTTGTCAGTTGCGCTTTTTAAATGATGTTGTGATGCCATTTGACTCTGAAAGGCCGAGGAAAGTTGATAGGAGATAAGGCGAGATATATCGAAGTGCCATATGAGATATTAGCAGCCAAAAAGAGGGTCGAGCGCACGACGACGAAGGCGATGAAGAGGAGGGAAATGTGAATGGTGAACAGGTAAAATCACTTTAGGAAGACTAACGCGGATGACTGTGATCGAGAGAGGACGTGAAGAGAGGCTGAGGAGAAGATTTAATGGAACTTTTCAGTTCTCTATCATGGTGAATGCTTAGCCGGGGTGAATTTACGACGACAATTGAAGCTCCTCTTTTCCCTGTGCCAACACCTCGAGAGTCGCATAATCATATAATTTAACACGGTGTGTGCTCGAGAAGACCAGCGATAAGAGAAGCTCCTCAGCCATGTGAAATTTTCAATATATATAGTGTGGTTTCACATTTTGCGAGATTAATAAACAAAAAGGGGGGCAGAAAAAGGGAGGCGCGAATCAAAGTGAAGCGCGCACAGGTCGCGAATGGGCCATAAAATATTCAAATTGAAAGGAGATTTAAATAATAAAACAAATTCTTATTTTAAATATAATAGTAATCGCAAGATAATAAAGGAGCAACATAGTGGAATATAAGGTAATTTAAATTCTCGTCGCGAAGTTAATGTGTAACATGAAATAGAGGAAAAAGATTGCAATATTGGAGGGAATATAATATACAAGAACGAGAGGAGTTGGAAAAAGAGACTCTCGAGTGTGCCGCCAATGTTAATGGGAGAGAACATAGAAACTTATATCATTTAATTGGGATTAAAGTGCATAAATTATCTGCTATCTCACTCGCTCTCGCCTCTCTCGCTCATGCTCACCCGGCAATATATAGCTCAGAGGCAGTGAATGAACATTAAATTTAAATTTATTTATAATCAAGCAACTCCTCGTTTTTCACCTGAGCCTCATATAATTATAATATTTCTCTGTGCTTATGAACATTGTATCCAGGACGCTTTTAAAACACTGTGCGTGTTTGTGTGAGTGTCTGAGAGAGAGACACTGGCTCCTTGTGAAGTGCGTAAGGACGATGATATTGTGAAGAAACGATGATCTCACCGAAATCCGCAAAGTCCGACTCTCCGTCCGGCGAAGTCGCCACTTCGATGCCCCTGGAATTGACAACGGAAACCAACTCCTCTAATCCGCCATCGAGTCCACCGAGTGAATTGGCCACCATGACCAATGTGAATGTGCTGGACCTGCACAAGAATTACGTGGAGGTGCCAAAGATTCACGAGAGTGCCATGAAGGATGACGGCATGTATGGCGCGAACTCACGTGTTTACCACCAGGAAGTCACACTGCAGGAGCACCAAACAATCCTGCGAGATCACCTGATTGACGGCATGAAGGATGGGGCAGAGTCTATCTTGATAGTGGGCCCGAATGGGGAGAGCCAGCAAATAATTGGGCGCCAGATCATAAATGGGGAGCATCACATTCTCACGCGCAATGAGAATGGCGATCACATAATAACTCGCATCGTTAATACTCACGCCACCCATGCCACATCCCCAGTCAGTCACTCGGCACAGCATCCCGAGGGCGACACCGGCCCGGCCATTGTGTACTCAGATCAGCTGCCGGAAACTGTGCTCCAGTATGCGGATAGTCGTGATGGGATAATCACAAAAGTGCAAGCCTCGGGGCTGCCCGAAGGCATGTATGAGGACAATGGTGTGGCGCGTCAGGGACAGATCATGGAGGCGCGCGAAGAGGCTGAGGGCGAACCAACACCGGATGCCACAACACCACCCAATGGGGCGCCCAATGGCGCTCTCGTGGGGGACAAGATGTACGAGAAGCCGCAGATTGATCTCATCTACGATGACGGCAACAAGACGGTGATCTACACCACGGCGTCCGATCAGAAGAGTCTGGAGTTGTATGCCGCGGCCACTGGCAACGAACTGGGACTCATTGGGGAGCATCAGGTGGTGGTGCAAGGAGGCATTCAGTACGCCCAGCAACCGGGATCGTCTACTCTGTTCGTGGTGCAAGAGATGGACGACGGGAGTAACATCGTCAGCACACACCAGCTAAGGTGAGTCATGAGATTCCGCATTCTTGCTATAGCTATTTGATAGAGACAAATATGCCAATGATTTACAGTGCCAAAAAATAGAGAAATTGCCCGAATTGATTCATGATCTTGAGTGCAATTTGGAGCATGTTAGTGAATCGAGGTCTACGTGAAATTGACACATTGATTGCATATTTTCTTCTCTTTTGTGAGTTTAATATTGAACCACAAATTCTATATTGCTTGTCACACAGTGACAAACAACAATAAGGTGTGCGCACATGCGAGGTAAAAAATTTAAATTGAATTGTTCAATGTTTTGAGAATCTCGTACGAAAGCGACACACGCATTAGGTGCAATATTTACATATAAAAGCTGAGTACATAAGGCGCAAGATTGAAGTAGGAAAAAAAGACACTGTTGCTTGAGATTGTGTACGGCATGGATGTTAATTTGGAGTGAATGGGGAAACTGTCAAAATGTTCAATGGTAAAATAATATAGGCAACATGACATCAATCCACGTCTGAGCCGGTGAAAGAAAAGGAGATGGAGTGAAATCAAAACAAATTTCAATATTACAACTGTGGCGAGAAAAGCACGAGACGCGCTCAAGACATATGGGTAAAAATTGATTTTGCATGACACACATTTAATTCTGTCGACTTTATAAAGTTAAGTTCCTACGCAATTGTATATTTAACACCGGCAATTGAGGTGAATTAAAGACACATTTCACGCGGAGAGATAGTTGACTGGAGATTAAGGAGAGACGTGGAAATATTCTTTCTCTCTCGCATGATCACCGAATGTACGGTAAAAATAGGCTCTCTCGAATAGAGAGGCTTTCCAATGTTGCACGAAAGGTTACTTTATGCTATTTTCCATTGGGATTTATTGCTATTATTCAGCACACAAAGGACACTCGATCCTTCGAGAGGAAATTGGTAGGAAGATACATTTTTTCTGAGCTCATGCAGTGGCATTGTGTTGGCAATTTCCAAAGTAATTGCACTGAAATGAAAAATTGACACCTAACGGACTTTCCAAGCACGTTGCTGCACAGCATTTTCTCGTATAAGCGATATTGCCGCGCGACGTTGGATGCTGAATGGCCTGTGAGATGGTGGCTAGAGGAATTTGCATTCACGATGTACCAAGTCACTCGACCACTGAGCACCATTAAACGGTGTTGCATTTATTTATGCATTAGAGAGACATATTTTGCATTTTGTATGTCGCGCGTCTCACTTCAAAATGCAACCATATAAAACGGCGTGTGTTGTTGTTGTTTGTGCGTTTGTAAGTGAGAAAGGAGCACTATATAAATGCAAGACTGTGTGTGATACGGATTTTCCCACTCTTTTTCCTTTAGCATTTCGCTCTTCACTCAATGAGATTCAATCATAATTATTTTAATGACATCTTGGACAAATTTCTACACCACAGCGCCAAAGTATGCAGTAAATTTTCGCAGTGCGCACAAGAGTTTCGGAATTTTTAATCCCCACATTTTGTTGCCTTCTGTGCACGCATTTGGCATGGAGAGTGGAGGTATGCCTCAGGTGAAAAATAAGTTCACTCCATAATCCGGTAAATTATGCTGTATTGATAGTAGTGATTTATATGCTTTTCTCATTACATCTCGTGGTTATATTTAGAAAAATGGCATTCTTGGTGCTGCCGCATTTTATTTAGGTAGCACATTTCCTTGCACAGACAGAAATACAGTTCAATTGACAAAAAAGAACCTTGGCAATTTGACTGAAAAGCTCTTATCATTTAATTTCCCATCAATCTCATCAGCAATTTCTCGTGCTTGCAAGTTTCAGACACGCGACTGTATATCGCGTGACAATTTTTACTTAATCCGTTTAACTCTTGTTGCCAAAAATCTCGAGGCGTTTTTGCGCAACACACTGAAGAAATTGCTTTGTCATTGTATTTGGTAATATCTTCATTTGACTTCTTCACAATTATCCGACCACGATATTTTGTTGTTGAGATAGTAAACAAGATGTCGTGATAAATAAAAAAAAATGCGACTTTACTTTTGAGACACTTTTAGGGGGTAATTTGTCGGATTTTGTGAGAGTAAAATCGACTAATCGTGCTTCAATCTCTCTTAATTTATTGCACAAACATAGAAATTTATTTGATATTCCAAATGATTCATTAGATTTTATTGCATTCGGTGAATGAGTAACATTTGAGTGACATTATTTTTATTGGTCATATACATAATTGGACAGTGGGTTTTTGCTCTCTCATTGACAAACTGAAGGTTGCGCTTATTTAATCATCCCTGCGATGGTCAATGAGGCTCAAGGGTTTTTCAGAGTTGTGCATTGAGTCAATCTTGCCCAGAGGGGAAATTGAAAATTTCTCACCGTGTGGCAATTTGATGGGATGTGTGTGCATTGCCATCATGTTAAAATGTGCATTTGTGCGCAGAGGCCGTCTGAAATGATAAAGAGAGTGAATTATTTAAAGTGCAATTAATCTTAATCTTGTAGAGATGTAAATAAAATTCGTGCTATGCTGCGGTTGCATTTGCAATAAAGACGCGATGTGAGAGCCTGGATAGAATGGGAAGGGAGAAGAGAAGAGAAGTTTAAAGGTTACTTTCGGCTATTATTTTTCATCTGTCTGTGAGGCATAAAGTAATTTATGAGGACTCCTTTCACAATTTACCAGCAGATTTTAAATTACACGACGACGCGGCCTTTTATTTGCTGGCTCCTCACAAAAATATCTTTATCGTGATTTTTATTGAGGAGAGAAACAGTGGCGTCGTGAGTGTTTGTGTGTTCTGTTGAAAATGCGTTAAATGCAGTTTAGCAGATCAAAATATCTTCATACGCCACTGAAGTGGATATCCTTTGAAAAACTCAATTGATTGCTGTATCTTGAATCTTTTTATGTTAGCGCCAAAAAATTGGGACACGCTATATGGTGATCACCGAACGCATTCGAAAATGAATCCACCTGAGTTGGAGTTCTTGTTATTGAAAATTGGCGTTTAATATCGCTTGAATATAAAATTTAATGACTTTATTTTTCTCAACATTAACACGATGGGATCTCTTTTACACACTGTGCATCAAAATGGATTGTATTTAAAGAGTGTGAAAGAGTTTGAGAATTTGAAAAAAGGAGAGATGAGAAATGAAACACGATGCGAGGGTATAAATAATAATTGCTTCAATGTCACTCTCTATAGTCAATCCTCTTCATCTTGGCCACAATTTGCATTTTAATTAAATTAATCTACCGACGAATCACAGAGCGGCGTTGAGTGTGGAGGAACTAGTCTTTGAGCAACAGGGGAAAGATGGAGGGAATTTCACGAGAGGGTTCAGTGAAAAATTGATAAAACATTTCAGAGAGAGAGAGGAAATTCATGATGATTTTATACACACAGCATCTATAGAGTGGATGCAAATGCACTTTAAAATCCATTGGGATTTACAGTAGAGGAAATTGCGCCAGTCTCTTAAGGCGGAAAGTGATCCCAATGCAGTTTCATAGAGTGTTGGAAAGAGCAGCTGGAGAAACTCTGGGTCTTCCTGAGTGTTAATTTATGCAAAAATCTGAAATGATTGCATTCTGCAATTATCTTGTAGGAATAATCGTTGAAGAGCAGAGCCAAGGATACGGTGTTGCAGGGAGTTGAGATAAGAGTGGCGATGGCGAAAAAAGAGACTGCCAATGATGGCTTCATTGTCCTTGCTTGAATAACTTGAGATGCAAAGTTGCGCCAGTCACTTTAAAGAGATCAATTTTCCATTTATGCTTATGCGGTAATTAAGTGACTCGATCATCGTTTAAGAGTGTTAATTATTTTCTGTGACCAATTTTGCCTGAAGCCATGAGATGTGCATGACAACTTTGGCCAAAAATGGCTTTTCCTAGCCTCGATGCGCCACAGTTATTGAGTCATTTAGAATTCCCTCGTCGTGCACTTATGAATAATATTTTCGTTAATGTTTTAATTGGATACGCAAGCAATTAAATTTTTTCGGTGCTTTTCTCCTTCACATCGCACATAGTGAATCATTAACACTCTCGGGCCACTTTGCGCAAAAAAGATCGCACGGCATAAATTTTATTTTCTCTCTCTCACTCGGAATGGATTTTCTTCGAATTGGATGAGTGACTAATGCGAGAGGGAGCGAATTTGCGGGTGCAAAAAAGAGGCGATTTAATGTGTTTAGAGTAGCGAAAGAAGTGATTTGAATAAAATTTGAATCCACTTATGAATTTTGATGATTGGCTTGGAGGAACAAGGAAAAGGGGCGACATTGGGCGGCTTTGTGGGAACCCTGGGCAGATTTCTTTCATGGCTCACGCAAATGACTGTAGGCCGAGACACTGCAACTTCCTCATGACACTCTCTTGGTGCATTGATTCACTGTTCTGGTTGCAGTTCGACTTCATTCCAAGGGCGAATAAGTGGGGAATTGCACGCTTTTGGAATGCGGAAGATTCAATTGTGAGTCATGAGGCCAAAATTTGCAATAATATTAGGGCTATTATAGGCATTTGAGTAATTTTGACTGTTAACGGGTGATTTTAATTAAAAGTTTGTATTTCTTGTAATCTATGATTGCTAGCAATCTAAAATTTCATTCCTTGCAGCTGTTCGCATTTCTCTGGAAAGGCAAAAATGAATTTTGATAAAATCAAATATAACCGCATGAATTCATTCGAGATTCTTCATTTAGTCACTTTCGTTCGATAGGGCAGATCCCGACCATCTAAGCGTTCTTCTGTTCAGCACACATTCTGCCTAGAATACAGTAATTATCCGCCCCCTGCCTTGGCTTCTTTTTGCTCTCAGTCATGCTGTTGATCTCGCTTGGTGAATGGAGGAACTCTGGCCATTCTTAAAGCAGAAGCGAACACCAAAGGCCGCCATAGAGATCAAATGGCAGATTCCACCGCACTGCTCTCCTCTCTATGCTCACATATGGCATTAATATATCTACGCGTAAAATAATAACGACGCGCAATGCACT